AGTAAATTGACCTATGATTATTTAAACATCACACTCTGTTTCGTTTTAATCTGGTTTCATTTTAATCCGCCACAATACATGTATATACATGTATTAAAAAAAATAATTCTATATTAATTTTTTTCCATGCATTTTGATTACGTAAGAAATACGTAATAATTAATTTCGCTATAATCAACAGCAAGTAATCTCAATGCAGATTTCATTTTTTGTGCTTATTTCAACATATTCCATCTGGTTTATCCCTGTCTAGACGTAAAAATGGAATTGCACGTAAAACACATAATTCACGTAGTGCATATTGTTGAATTTTTTGAGGTTGCTCATTGATATTTGGATTTTTATAACTTCAGAATCAACAAGTTCAATATCTTGTTTTGCTGTTAAATTGTATATATCGATATGTGATAATGATGAAATCCTAATCTAATGAATTTATTTACAGTTCCTTAACCACAAACTATTGCAAAATCATTATCTGTTGTTAAAGTAAGTGCCTTAAAGTAATTATATGATTGTAATTGCGATATTGATGAGGTTGAATGAATTATATCAAGAAGAAATGTTTTAAATTCCAGTCATTATCAACATAATGAATTATAATTCCAAGATAAGCTTCTGTTGTTAAAGTAGAACTCCACATATCTGTTTTAAGTGAAAATTTCCAGGAATTGTTGTAAAAACAAAAGTAATTTTATTTGGATGTCGATTAAAACAAGTCAAAAGTAAATCTTAATTTGGTGTCAATTTAGGTACTTTATAATGAATTTATTAATCATTTGTGTAAATTGTTCATTTTCTACAACATCAAATGGTTGTAGACTTACAATTATCCAGCTCTTAAGTCGTCATGTTCTATTTTCTTTTACTGGCTATTGATCAATTCTTTAAGGTTAATGGTGAATAGTTTTATGTATTTTTTCAATTATAATATTATATACTTTATTTAAGTGTCTTTTTAAAGTGGAGCATCCTGTATCCAATCCGAATAAAGCTCCACATTTTATACAAACGCGTGTTTCATTTTGTTCATCGAAATATTTCCAAGAAGCTGAAATTGTTGATTCATTTTCATCATTTTCAGTTTCACTTATATTAATATATTCGTGTTCTTCATGTTCGTTATTAGATATTTGATTTAATGGTATAGTTATTTATGTCAAACTGGTGATTTCAAACTCATCTTCAATTTCAGAATCATCCATTTTTTTTTAGCTTAGTAAAGTAAATAATACAAAAAGACAACAAATACAAATTTGAATAATTATTGAGTGCGTTTTCTCGCATTTTTCATGTAATCATGTATGCATTTATTATTTAATTTTGTTGCGAGTGCAAAGATTCCATTACCGATATGTTTAATTACATGTACTACGCCCTCCGAAATCATAATTTTTATAATTAAAATGAATATTCGGCAACTGAAAGACAAACACAAATTTTGGCTTTAGTTCTAGCTCAAAAAAAGTTCAATAGCATCTTTTTATTATTATTATTATTATTCAAGTTAATGATGGCGATTAAAGAACCTTGTGATTTTCTTTATATACATGTACGTACGTAGTTTGAAAAGCATGTTTATTTTCAATGCTAGAATACAATAAAATATTCTGTCACTTTCATTATCAAATGGTTATTTAACTGCTAAAAGAATAAAAATATGAACACGTAAACAGTAGTTCTCGATGTTGGGTGTTGGTATTTGGCCGACAATCTGAAATATTTGCCAAATGCCAGCTGGCGTAAGGTTATCGAATATACTTTAAAAAACGACTCAACAGTGATATATATAGAAATAATTACTAATATTAAAATAAAGGCATTCCCCTAAATTAAAATTCAGAGTCGAATTTAATTGATTAAGTTTATAATATTACACAAATTTTTTTTTTTCTTTTGGAATTTCTCCCACCCTCGCGACCACTCCGAATCATTCGGACAACAGTGTGAAATGCTCTTTCAACATTTACACACGTTTTTGCCGAGGTCTCGACGAATTCACATCCAAGTCTTCGAGACATATTCATTCCGTCTTCGCGTAAAACTTCCCGTTCAGTCATTTTATCGCATTTGTTACCAACAATAACGATAGGAACAGAATCGGTCTTTTTAATCCGTATTATTTGATTCCGTAATTCTTCTATCTGTTCAAATGTTGACCGTGATGAAATTGAGTATACAATAAGGAAACCTTCATATTCCCTTATCCATTCTCCATGGACTTTTGCGTATTCTGGTCCAAGTGTATACAGTATCTCTAAAGTACATTGTTCGTCACCAATCACAACATTCTTCTTATATGAATTATCAGCTATGGGGTCGTTTTTCCCGATAAAATGATTCAGACAAAACTGAATCGTTAATGATTTCTTGCCTACATTACTACCGCCAAGTACAAGAAGTTTATAGCGCCTCATTGTGAGAAAAAGGATAATAAAACAGATAGGAGAGAGATACGTTACATTTTTATAAACAAAATTTATATTGCTTGATTCTGATACACACAAACTTATTATTACTATTGCTATACATGAATGAACACGATTGGGCAATGACATTATGACCAAGAATATGCACAAAAATATTCGTAACCCCATCTGAACCAATTACCAATGATAATTATCTATAACCAATAATATAACGCTTATCTGATACACGTACCAGATACATGGGAAAAATTTTATAATGCATAACATCAAACTTTTTAACTTGCACTAGGAAGTAACGATAAATACCGCTAATATAATCTAGAAAGGTCCATTCTATCATATACATGTAATCATATAATGATAATGGATCAAATTTTGTATTTGCTTCTTAGTTAAAAAGTTTGAAGATTTTTTCATCAAAATTGCTTTTAGTGCCGTTTTTTCGATACATGTTGTTAGGCTTATGGGAACAATTTATTTCAACGCTTGAAATATACAACAAATAAGAAACTGATTTTAAACGGCTCACGAATGTTTCTTTAATTAGCAGCTTAATATGAACTTGATCTCTCGTATGCAATACATAAAAACAAAAGAAAATCGTTTGAACGGTTTTTCAAATCACTGCTTATTTAAGTTAACCATTAAAAGACGACAAACGCATGGATTATAAAACATTTGGTAGCTCTTGGATTTTGAAAGAGAAAATTAAGTCAAGGCTTTTTATTATTGTCAAAATTGAGTTTGGACTATTCAACCAAGATTGAAAAGGAAAGTAAAAATCTACACAGCGTCTCTGGTTATAGCACATGGCAATGAAAAAAGTATTGACATACCCAGAGGTTGGCTTAACCAACGACTCGGTTTATAGATATGCTGATTTTGGATTTTCGCACTGTGTATCGGTATCAGTATCGTTCGCTAACGCTAAGACATTTTTTAGCTACAATATTTCTAATGTTGGCTGGACGTTAAGATCGTACTTGTCATAGCTCAAGTTCATCTTTTTATTTTCTTTAGTCAATTGCGTACTAATGGAAATATAATTATATCTAAGTCGATAATTTTATCGAATAATACTTTTTAATGTATAGAAACTATGTATGTATCTTTGTCTACATTTTAGAATTAAACGAAATTCTAGATTTGTTTATTAGTATTTTCTGTTGAATCTTGTTTTCTTTATTTTCCTTTATATCTTATCCATAAATCTCATGTACATTCTTCGATATATTCTTTCTTCACAAGGAGAAACAACCGCGATAATGCTTCATCATCCCTCTGACTAGCAATAATAACACAAATAAAAGCAAAGATGATAACAATAGCACTTTATGGTGATTAGACGAATTCGAAAAAGCTCACGGTACTTGATTACGGTAAATTCGAGATTGTATACGGCATATCAAGAGACTTCGAAAAAATGTGGCAGTTAAGCGTTTAGAAACGACAAGTTGTAATGCTTTTGGTAATTTATTTTTTTGTGATATGATTAGAATTGATGTCTTTTACCGGAATTGCATTGCATTGAATTAAGAAAATAAGTTCTTTTTCTATAGATCTAGAAACGTTTCTATATAATAAATGATAGTATCGTAAAATTAAGCACCATTTTTTTGAGCTCTAAAAAATTACGTATGTATGTTTGTGATTAGATTTAGTTATATTTATTTACTACGTACATGTATGTACTTGATAAGAGGGCAGACGACATTAAATGCAATTTATATCAACTGGTTATTAAACTCGTAAATTTTTGGCTGAAAGCACAATTACGTAGTTACTTACTATTCGAAATACGTAGATGAATAGCGATAAAATAAAAACTTTACATGAGCTGTTTCATTGTACATGTATTTCCTTTTCAATAAAAAGAGAAGTAATTCTCTATTTAAAGTTAAAGTTTGAAGTATCAAATGATACAAAACAGAGAATGCAAATACATCTGCATGCATTTTGCTTGTATAACATGTACGTAAATTTAATTTTATTAAAAATGTTTAACGTTAATCCTATAAAAGTTTAGACTACGTATACATGTATTTTGTGTCCAGAGTACATATGTATCGCAACATAAATTTTGTTTACGTATACGTAAATATCGATATGTAATAGTAACGTTTAACATTTCACATTCTTTTCTTTAAAGTTTTCAAGATGAGGTTATATAACCTTGTTGTACTTGGCGATAAAGGTGTAGGCAAGACATCACTTACGAAACAATTATAATCCTGATATATATCGATATCGAAAGGTAGCTGTCATTGATGATCAACTATGTGTTTTAGAGATAATGCCTATCTCTACAGCTGAGAAAGAGGAATTTCCCACATTATGTGATCAATGGATTAGAGATAGTGAAGGTTTTCTTATTATATACTCAATTTCATCTCGGCCAACATTTGAACGTGTAGAACGATTTCGAAATCAAATCACTCGGGTCAAAGATTCAGAGTCGGTTCCCATTATGCTTGTTGGCAATAAATGTGATAAAATTACTGAACGGGAAGTTTCACGTGAAGAAGGCATTAATATGGCTCAGCAAATTGGATGTGGGTTTATCGAAACCTCGGAAAAAACATGTGTAAATGTTGAAAGGGCATTTTACACTGTTGTCAGAATGATTCGGGTTGGTCGTGAGAGTGAGACAAATTATAAAAAAAAGAGGAGGCGATGCTTAATATTATAAATCTGTACATGTAGTTTCTTTGTACTTTAGAAATAATATCTTTATTTATTATGTACAAAATTTGAAAATTCAAAATATAATAAACTTTTTTTTAATCTTTTGGTTTATATATACCATTATTTGATATATTTGGAGGCGATGATAAGTACAGCTAAAGGGTGTAAATTAAAATAGATAATTTCGTATTTACTATATCATGAAGTACTCTCAAAGTTATCAATATATCTCTGTTTCCCTTCAAAATTGTTACTGGCTTTTGGAAGACATTACAGGTTAAATAACTCATTCCAATTTGCCTTTGTGAAATTTAATGATGGTTTTCTAGAGGCGGCTTATATTCTTTTAAAGCATCATTTTTTGAGTTTGATATCTAATGTAGAACTGGTATAGCAATATGAATAAATGCTCCTAAACGCAATTTGGTTGTTTTGTAACACACTATTTAATATAGATATTTAATTGCGTATTCGTCTCGATTTCGAGAAGGCATTATTTGTTCTAACCAAGAAAAATTTTTCTAAAGTTTCGGCGGTTTTCAATATGATTGCAATAATTTGATTTGCTATAAATAACATTGTTCACGTGATTGATTTGATTGGTCTTACAATATTAGAGTTACAAGTTGTTAATTAGTCACGTGCTTTGGTTGAATTATAACTCAATTTCTTAACGTTAATGCTGACCAAAATCTAAATTTTTGGTGTTACCCAAACAAATTTTATGAAATCAAATCCAAAATTCTGTTTCTAACATCAAGTATGAAAGTGTGATTTATAATAGCTGCATTCAAACTAATATCAAAGTGTAGTATTTTTCTTTTGGCATATTCAATTTTCATAAATAAGAATTGGTGCTAGTGCACAGAATATAATTTATTCGTAATAATTAACATGTATAGTGAGCCAACTAAAATACATCGAACTGCTAAATGCACTTTATTTATAGTACTGATTAACCTTAAGCACTTATAATCATTAAAAATATTGTACACATTTATCTATTTGAATCACTAAATTTCATAATATCAGAATATATTTTATTGTCTTAAGACAGAAAAATAAAGATATATATATTAATATATATCTTCTTAAAAAATTTTC